TGGCTACACCCTTTCCTTCTGGGTTCAAGTGTGTGAAGGGACCAGAGGAGGAGAGCGTTGGTGAAGAGGAGAGGCGCCGATTTCACTCGTTGGTGGGCAGCCTCATGTATGCGGCGGTAAACACCCGACCGGACGTCGCGTTTGCTACCGGGCAGCTGGCTAGGGTTGTGCAATGCCCTAATGAGGAGCAGGTAGCAGCTGGAATGAGGGTGGCCAAGTATCTTGGCCAAACACCGACCGTTGGGCTGCAATACTCGGCGGCGGCACAAAGGCGCCAAAAGGGCGCGGATGGTGTTGAACCCGGGCGTTTGTTCCTCACCGCCTACTCGGATGCTTCATATGCATCAGAACCAGAGGACATGACAAGTGTGGGAGGCTTCATATGCTGTGTTGGTGGAGGCCCAACTGCTTGGGAGAGCAAGAAGCAGGTTGACCAAGCTTTGAGCTCGGTGGAGTCCGAGTACATGACACTCTTCCGTGCCGTACGGGAGATTGTGTGGCAGCGGCGTTTGTTGGCTGAATTGGGGGAGGAGCAGCAAGGACCTACCCCACTGTACTGTGACAGCCAGGGTGCCATTGCTCTTGCTAAGAACCCTGTGTTGCATGGACTCACGAAGCACATGAGGGTGAAGTGGCATTGGACGAGGAGCATGGTAACCGCGGGTGAAGTTGAGTTGCGCTACGTGAAGACCACGGGGCAGCCGGCTGACATGATGACCAAGAGGCTGGTGGAGCAGCAGCATTGGAAGTGTTGCAAGCTGGCTGGGATGGCTCTGAACTGAGAGAGCAACATATCCTAAGGCCAACAATCCGAGGGGGAGTTTGTTGGTGCAACCCTACGGTTTGCACTCGGCTTGTTGTCCGTGTGCGTGAATGTGTGTGTGTATGGAATGGTATGAGGGCATGGGATAATATATATTTCATGCTTATAATTGTGTGTGAATGTTGAGTCATGATGTCGAGTGTGTGTGTCGAGTCAATAGCGAGTTATCGCTAGACGCGTGTTACGCGGTCGTTTGTGTCTCGCGCGCGGTTTCTATTTTGTCGTGCGCGGTTTCTATTTTGTCCTGTGTCGAACGTTCGGTGTGTCGCAGGTGTGTGCAGCAGACCCATCAAGAACTCAAGGATGAGTTTGTGATGAAGAGCCCGAGCCTTGGTGTCAAGCCTCAAGTGATTTCGAAGCTTGCCAAAAGGGTACACCTCAAGATATTGAAGATAGTTACATTACTTTGTGTAGTGTAACATTTCACTTGGTGTAGGCCCTAGTGAAGGGTAGTTTCGAGACCCTTCGTGGTTGGGGACAGTGTGGCACTGTTCCACATCACTGTACCTCGGCTCTTGGGGTTTGTAGGAGCTGGGAGTCATTCCCAACTCGTAACTCTTCCTATCTTGTGTTCTAAGACTATAGTGGCTGCCATAGTACCGTTCGTTCAAACCGACGCTGTGTCGTCAATTCTTTATCAAATCGTGCAATCTAAATTGATAATTGTAGACGACGTGAAGACGCTCCAGATCCAATTTGAATCAACTCATTTGCAGCTGTGAGAAGAACGCTATCAACGTTTGAAGCCGCTGTGCAGAAATCCGTCTGTGCTCTCTATCTTTCGTTTTAGGCACATTCAAGCCTATTGTGACTATAACAGGGTGAACTTGGCTTGAATGCACGTCGGGCAGCCAAGCACCTCATCGGGCTCCCCCTTCACACGTATGCCAGCAACCATCTCATTCTTCACTAGCTGCTGCAAGATGGGCAGGGCCACATGCCCCATGCGCCGATGCAAGGTGAGCCAATCACACTCCCCCGTAGCCGAAGTTGGATTGGAGAATGCCGCGCTCGCAATAGCGCCCCACATACTCTCTCCGTAGTCCTCCTCCGCTGCTGCCTCTGGGTTCTCCTCACCCTTTTGCTGCTCCTTGGTTGCTGCACCACTCTCCTTAGGTTCACTGAACTTGCTGGTCCCTCCAGGTTTGCTCTTCTTGAGCTCATTCTCCTTAGCGCGACCGTTCGCGCCATCGTCGCTACCGACCGCTCCATCCTTGGTGCTGATGCTTGCTGCCACTTGCCTCTCCTTAGGCATAGGGACCACTGGGATCTGCCACATCTCGTTGTAGACATCCCTGTCCTCATGAAGGTCCCAAAGGATTCGATCGCCAAGCCTTGCGGTGTAGGTCTTGGCTCCCTTCGAGTTCGTGTCTATGCCGGCCTTTGCCAACCGCCGCACGGAAATCAGGTTTGCAGCAAGGCTGGGCACCCAAAGCACGTTCTTGAGGCCCACCATCTTCCCATCAGCACCCTTGAACATGGCCTTGCCCATGCCTTTCACCTCTGCTCGCTGCCCCAAAGCCGATGTGACATGCTTCACCGGTGACGGCTCGAGTTCGGTGAGCAAGTCCGGGCGAGGTGTCATGCTATAGGTAGCGCCACTATCAATCACCCAATAGTCCAGGGGGTGTAGGGTCACCTTCCCCACAGCTGCTGGCTCCTCAAAGCCTTCATCCTTCTCTGGACCAGCCGGTACTTGCGTCGACACGAAGTAGAATAGACACGGGTATCGATCGTCGCTCGGGTCCTTGTCGTTGTCTCCGCTCTTCATGTTTGCAGCTCCGCCACCGCGACCGCCACGGCCTCCACGGCCTTGTCCTCTCCCTCCTCCTGCTCCTCTACCCTCTTGGCCTTGAGCAGGGGTCCAACCATCAGGGAGTTTGTAGCAGTCGCGCCACATGTGTCCGCTCTTGTGGCAATAGTGACACTCGCCGTCGAATCGGCCGCGACCGCGTCCGTAGCTCTTGTCGTCGCTGCCGTAACCGCCACTCCTGCGGCCTCCGCCGAAGTTGCTGCCACCAAACCTTCCTCCCCCTCGTCCTCTGCCTCTTCCTCGACCATATCCACGGCCGATGCTCGCTGCCCCAGCGCCATCCGCACTCGCCAACTCACGGCGGCGGAAATCCTCTTGAAGGATAGCTCGCTTCACGTCTTCAAGCGAGAGGCGGGGCAAGTCGCGATTAAGGTTGATGATGAGCGAGGACCATGACTCTGGGAGTAAGGCCAGCAACTTGGTCTTCAAATCAGCTCCCTCAAGCCGCGTCAACAAGTCGAAGAATTTCTGCACCCCTTCTTCAACCGCTTCGTTTTCTTCAATTCGTGGATTTGCCGTTCCAACACCACCGCTACCGCCGCTGTTGCAGGAGCATGTACACCCTTGAGAGCAGCCCATGCCTTTGGTCCTTTCTCTGGTTCACGCTGGAATGGCTTGATGTGACGGATCTGACTGCTCCCCAACGCTTGCCCAAGTAAGAGATAGCCTTGTGCACTCTTCCGCACCCACGGGCTCTTCTCCAGGTCGTTCTCGGGGCGCTTCTCCGTTCCTTCCATCACCTCCAGCAGGTCATAGTGGTCAAAGATGTTCTCCATCTTGAAGGCCCATTCAGCAAAATTGTCACCGTTGAACTTGTCAAGCCCAAACACCCTAGGCTCATCCCTAGGTGGGCCAAGACTTGGTTGCATGGGCGCCATGGCTGAATCACGGGGTTGGCCTTGAGCTTGAGCTTCTCCACTGCCACCAGCACCTCTGCCACCCCTTTCCTCAGGTCCAGACATTGTCGAAACTGCTCCAAGGGGCTCTGATACCACTTGTTATAGTCACAATAGGCTTGAATGTGCCTAAAACGAAAGATAGAGAGCACAGACGGATTTCTGCACAGCGGCTTCAAACGTTGATAGCGTTCTGCTCACAGCTGCAAATGACTTGATTCAAATTGGATCTGGAGCGTCTTCACGTCGTCTACAATTATCAATTTAGATTGCACGATTTGATAAAGAATTGACGACACAGCGTCGGTTTGAACGAACGGTACTATGGCAGCCACTATAGTCTTAGAACACAAGATAGGAAGAGTTACGAGTTGGGAATGACTCCCAGCTCCTACAAACCCCAAGAGCCGAGGTACAGTGATGTGGAACAGTGCCACACTGTCCCCAACCACGAAGGGTCTCGAAACTACCCTTCACTAGGGCCTACACCAAGTGAAATGTTACACTACACAAAGTAATGTAACTATCTTCAATATCTTGAGGTGTACCCTTTTGGCAAGCTTCGAAATCACTTGAGGCTTGACACCAAGGCTCGGGCTCTTCATCACAAACTCATCCTTGAGTTCTTGATGGGTCTGCTGCAGACACCTGCGACACACCGAACGTTCGACACAGGACAAAATAGGAACCGCGCACGACAAAATAGAAACCGCGCGCGAGACACAAACGACCGCGTAACACGCGTCTAGCGATAACTCGCTATTGACTCGACACACACACTCGACATCATGACTCAACATTCACACACAATTATAAGCATGAAATATATATTATCACATGCCCTCATACCATTCCATACACACACACATTCACGCACACGGACAACAAGCCGAGTGCAAACCGTAGGGTTGCACCAACAACCATCATCCCCTCCCCCACCATGCCCTCCACCACCACTCCCACTGCCACCGTCCCCCCTCATACCACCGTCCCCCCTCATACACTGTACGCCCTCATACCACCATCCCTCCTCATACCACCATCTCTCGCTGCCATTCCTCCTCCAAATGCCTCCCTTGCACCTGTTGCTCCCAGGACTACTCGCATTGGCAGGAATATTTTTTTTTTGCTCAAATTCCTCCTCGTCCTCATCTTTCTCACCTTCTCCTCTTCCTTTCTCCCTCTCTTCTTACCTCTCTCTTCCTTGCTTTTTCCCAAACCCCTCCCAGTTGGCCATCCAGCCTGAAACGCTCAGGTCTCCCCTCTCTGCTTACTGCATCACCCATCTCTTCCAATTTGACCTGCCTTGCCTTCTTGCTTCCCCATACTTCTTCTGTAAAACAAGCAGCGCCAGCAGCAGCAGCAGCAGCAGCAGCAGGACCAGCACCATCACCACCGTCCACAGCAGTACAATTAGCCGCAGCAGCAGCAGCAGCCGGTGAATGTTGTGTCTTGAGCCGATGGGTTGCTAGGTGATTCGCCAGAAATGAAACAGCACAGCAGCCGTCGCCACTGCCGCCACCACCACCAAAAACAGCATCAGCAAAAGGGACTGCAGCACCAACAGCAGAAGCACCACCGGTGGCAGGAGGAGCAGCAGCAGCACCAACAGCAGAAGCACCACCGGTGGCAGGAGGAGCGGCAGCACCAACAGCAGAAGCACCACCGGTGGCAGGAGGAGCAGCAGCAGCACCAACAGCAGAAGCACCACCGGTGGCAGGAGGAGCAGCAGCAGCACCAACAGCAGAAGCACCACCAGTGGCAGGAGGAGCAGCAGCAGCACCAACAGCAGAAGCACCACCGGTGGCAGGAGGAGCAGCAGCAGCACCAACAGCAGAAGCACCACCGGTGGCAGGAGGAGCAGCAGCAGCACCAACAGCAGAAGCACCACTGGTGGCAGGAGGAGCAGCAGCAGCACCAACAGCAGAAGCACCACCGGTGGCAGGAGGAGCAGCAGCAGCACCAACAGCAGAAGCACCACTGGTGGCAGGAGGAGCAGCAGCAGCACCAACAGCAGAAGCACCACTGGTGGCAGGAGGAGCAGCAGCAGCACCAACAGCAGAAGCACCACCAGTGACAGGAGGAGCAGCAGCAGCACCAACAGCAGAAGCACCACCGGTGGCAGGAGGAGCAGCAGCAGCACCAACAGCAGAAGCACCACCGGTGGCAGGAGGAGCAGCAGCAGCACCAACAGCAGAAGCACCACCGGTGGCAGGAGGAGCAGCAGCAGCACCAACAGCAGAAGCACCACCGGTGGCAGGAGGAGCAGCAGCAGCACCAACAGCAGAAGCACCACCGGTGGCAGGAGGAGCAGCAGCAGCACCAACAGCAGAAGCACCACTGGTGGCAGGAGGAGCAGCAGCAGCACCAACAGCAGAAGCACCACCGGTGGCAGGAGGAGCAGCAGCAGCACCAACAGCAGAAGCACCACCGGTGGCAGGAGGAGCAGCAGCAGCACCAACAGCAGAAGCACCACCGGTGGCAGGAGCAGCAGGAGCAGCACCAGCAGCACCATCAGCAGAAGCAAGTGCAAGCTGTGCGTTGATAAGGTGAGGTGCTTGGTGATTGGCCAGAAAGAGACCAAGACCACCACCATCACTACTGGCAGCAGGAGCAGCAGCAGCAGCAGCACCATCAATAGCAGGTGCAACAGCAGCAGCACCAGCAATAGCAGGAGCAACAGCAGCTGCACCAGTAATATCAGCAGCAGAAGCATAAGCACCACCACTACCACCACCAGCAGCAGCAGCAGGAGCAGGCTTGCACTGAGTTGAAACGATGCACTCTGAAGTGGTTAGGATCATCTCCCTATAGCCCTGCTCCCCCGTACTTTTCACTTGTCCCTGCCATCTGCCTTCCACTCTGCACAGCCTTTTCCACTCACGTCCATCTTCTCTTCCTCCCCTCCCTCATTTTTTCCTCCACCCTTGCTCCTCGCCCTTTTCCCCATCTGCTGCTTACTGCCTTCCGCTCCCTTCCCCTCATCCTCACCCTCTCTAACCGTATACATCTCCCCTTTGCTGCCTCCTTCCCCTCTCTCTGCTGCACTTCCCCCCTTAAACCCCACCTCATCCTTCCCCATTTCCTCCTTCTCCACTCCTTCCTCCCCATTAAACCCCAACAAGTCATCTCCCACCCCATTTTGCCAATTCTCATACTCATCCGGAAAATTCGTCAGCGCTCGGGGCCCACGAAGTTTCACAGCTGCCCGATCGTATGCTCGGGCAGCCTCTTCCGGGCAGGTGAACGTTCCGAGCCACACGCGGGATTTCTTCTTTGGGAATCGGATCTCCGCCACCCACTTCCCACAGTGCCGCTGCCGCACACCACGGTACCTGTTTTTGTCTTTTTTTGCTCGCTTCCCGGCCGGCAGAGTGGACAGAAAAGATGGGGCAGTGTTGGCACCTGTGGGTTCATTAGAGGAAGCATCAACAGGTGCACCTCTCCTGTGCAATTCACCGCCATCAGAGGGAATCGACGCCGTTGCAGCAGCATCTTTGGGGGTAGTTGGAGGTGTTTCTCTATCTGCTTTACTTGTCTTTGCTGCTTTCCGCCTTGCTCTGCTGCCCGAGCCTGCTTTGCTGCACCCGCTACTATGCCCACTCCCACTGCTAACAACCCTACCACCGCCTACCCCTCCACCATTACCCCAACCATTCGCACCACCATTCCCACCACCACTCCTACCATCATCCCCTACCCCATCATGCCCCCCACCACCACTCCCACTGCCACCGTCCCCCCCCATACCACCATCTCTCGCTGCCATTCCTCCTCCAATTCCCTTCCTTGCACCTGTTTCTCCCAGGACTACTCGCATTGGCAGGAATTTTCCTTTTCGCTCAAATTCCTCCTCGTCCTCCTCCTCCTCCTCCTCCTCCTCCTCCTCCTCGTCCTCCTCCTTCTCCTCCTCCTTTCTCCCCCTCTTCTTACCTCTCTCTTCCTTGCTTTTCCCCCAAACCCCTCCCACTTGGCCATCCACACTGAAACGCTCAGATCTCCCCTCTCCCCTGCTTACCGCATCACCCATCTGCTCCAATTTGACCTGCCTTCCCTCCTTGCTTCCCCAAACTTCTTTTGTAAAACAAGCAGCGCCAGCAGTAGCAGCAGCAGCAGTACCACCTGCAGCAGCAACAGCACCACCACCACCACCACCACCACCACCACCACCACCACCACCATCGCCAGCAGTAAGATTAGCAGCAGCAGCAGCAGCAGCAGCAGCGAGTGCATGTTGTGTGTTGAGCCGACGAGGTGATTGGTGATTCGTCAGAAATGAAATAGCACCACTTCCACCACCACCACCAACAACATCAGCAAAAGGGGCTGCAGCACCAACAGCAGAAGCACCACCGGTGGCAGGAGGAGCAGCAGCAGCACCAACAGCAGAAGCACCACCGGTGGCAGGAGGAGCAGCAGCAGCACCAACAGCAGGAGCAAATGCAAGCTGTGCGTTGATAAGGTGAGGTGCAAGTTGGTGATTCGCCAGAAAGAGACCAACACCGCCACCATCACTACCGGCAGCAGGAGCACAAGCAGAAGCACCACCAGAAGCCGGAGCAGCAGCAGGAGCAGCAGCAGCAGCAGCAGCAGCAGCAGCAGCAGCAGCAGCAGCAGCAGCAGCAGCAGCAGAAGCACCACCACAACCACCACCACCACCAGCAGGTGCAGTCTTGCACTCTGAGTTGAAACGATGCGAAGTTTGAGAGGAAATTTGTGGTGAGCTGATGCTGTTCAGGTGGGATGCTTGATAGGAGAGGAGCGCTGCAAGGAAGGGGCCAGCAGCAACTGCTGATGCCATGGCAGCAGCAGCAGAGGCAGAACGATTAGGAGGAGGACCAACGGCAGGGGAAGGAGGAGGAGAAGGAGCAGGAAAAGGAACAGGAGAAGGAGGAGCAACCGTAGTGGTTGCAGCAGCTGCTGCTGCAAGAAGGGGGCTAGCAGCAGCTGCTGATGCCATTGCAGCAGCAGCAGCAGCGGAGCGACCAGGAGGAGGGCCAATGGCAGGGGAAGGAGGAGGATAAGGAGGAGAGGAGCGCTGCAAGAAGGAGCTGTTCAGGTGGGTTGCTTGACGGGAGAGGAGTGCTGCAAGAAGAGGGCTAGCAGCAACTGCTGATGCCATTGCAGCAGCAGAGGCAGAGCCATCCGGAGGAGGGCCGATGGCAGGGGAAGGAGCAGGAGAAGGAAGAAACCGGAGAGCAACTGGATTGGTTGCTACAGCAGCAGATGCTACAGCTGCATTAGTGGGAGAAAGGGCACCAGCGTTAAGAGCAGCAGTAAGAGAGGAAGCGGCAGAGGCAGAACCGCCAGAAGCAGAAAAAGCAGCCGTGGGAACAGCAGAAGGAGCGAAAGCGGTAGCAGAGGGAGCAGCGACAGGAGTAGGTGCCCCTAAAGCAACTACTGAGGGCAGATGAGCATGGGAGGACGAAGATGAAAAGGAAGGTGAGGTCATGAGCGCATGAGCATGCATGGAAGTAGCAGGAGGGCCGCCTGATCGCATGCAGAAATGGGCTGCACCAATCCTGGTTTCACTTCTCGCTACCCTTGCTGCTGTCTCAACTGAACCACCTTCTATTCCTTCTCTTAATCCTCCTCCCAATCCTTTCTCTCCTCCTCCTCCTCCTCCTCCTCCTCCTCCTCCTCCTCCTCCTCCTCCTCCTCCTCCTCCTCCTCCTCCTCCTCCTCCCCACTCACCACCTCCTCCTCCCTTCACCCCTTCTCCTCGTCTTCCCCATCGTCCTGACTCCCCCATGCGGCCTTCCTCCCTTCCTACCGCATCAAACCGCACAAGGCCCATCTGCATCTCACGTGTCCCAACCTCGGCCCTAATAGCCCCCATCTGAGAATTCCCCGCATTTTTATCACCCTCGGAGTTTTTAGCCGCCTCAAAACTAGCTGCCGCACTTACTCTCATCAGATGAATTTCCACCTGTTTGTCAGCCGTCGAGGTATAACGAGCTGCAGGTGAGGCTGTAGAGGCAGGAGAAACTGCACCACGGGCAGCAGTAACAGCAGTACCATCAGGAGCAGGGAAAGCAGCATCAGCAGCAGTAGCAGCAGCGGGAGGAGCAGGAGACAGGGACAGGGACAGGGACAAGGAGAGGTCAAGATTTTCCTGGTGTAGGCTCGTGCTTTCATGCTTGAGCGACCCATTTTCCACACCGCTACACGCATCTCTCCTGCTTCCCAGGGCAGGTCCCGCTGCTGCATAAGGGGTGGCCTCCTCTCCGTCTGCTGCAACAGTAGCTAAGCTTGTGCTTGAGTTTGTATTCTGAAACCTTGGAGTTCTGACAGGTCTGTCAGTTGGAGAAACAGAGGGCTGGGAGATGAGGAGATCTGAGACGCTGATACCGTTGCTTCCACCTTCGGCTGCTCGAATTCTTGCCGATCCTGCCCCACCTTCCCGCAGATCTGCTGAAGATTTCATTTCTCCGGTTCTATCCACTCCTCCTGCTCCTCCTATTCCTCCTTTCCCTCCTCTCCATCCTCCAACATCCCTTTCACAGCCACTTCCGCTTACCGTATTGCCCTCAAACGGGCCCACCCTTCTCAACAACTCACCAGCTGACTCCTCTCCGCCTTCTGCCCCTCTTCCACCCCCTCCACGCCCTACTGTTTTTAGAAAAGCAGCCAGATTTGGCAATGAAGGAGCTTCTCCCCCGTCCACACTCGCCCCAGTGATCCCTTTGCTCATAAGGTGTGGTTCTGGAGAAGGCAGGGCAGGTAAAGCTGCTGCTCCTGCACCAGACATTGGTTCTCTAGCTGCGCCTGCAAGAACTCCCCCATGCACGTCTATATTTGGCAAAGCTGTTACATTTGGCAATCCTGTCCCTCTTCGGGCTTCTGCAGGTGCTCCAGCAGTCATGCTTAAAATAGCAGCTATGATCCTTTTCTGGTGTAGCTCCTGCTGTTGCTGTTGTTGCCGCCATTCCTGCTGCTGCTGCTGCTGCTGCTGCTGCTGCTGCTGCTGCTGCTGCTGCTGCTGCTGCTGCTGCTGCTGCTGCTGCTGCTGCTGCTGCTGTTGCTGCATCAAACGCTGCAGCTGCATTTGCCACGAAGCCAGAGCAGAAGACCCCTCATCCACTCCAGACGGTGCAGCGAAACCTGCATGAAACGTTGGCGATAGAGATTGGGAGTGAAAAGACTGGGAAAGCAGCAGTGATGAGGCAGACGCAGGCGAGGAAGCAGCAGAGGAAGCACCAGCAACGGGCTGGCCGGGAACTTGTCGAGTGCATGTGAATGGTCGGGGAAGAGAACCCGGGGTGGGTGTTGAAAGTAGTCCATGAGATGAGGTACCCAGAGGGGATACGACAGGTGTTGGGTATGGGTCCACAGGGTCCGTTATTCCGTGCTGTGTATGTCGCGGTGCCAACATTCCCATGGAGATTTGAGGTGAAGAAGTTTGCAAAAACGGCGTAGGCTGTGGGGATGAAACAGTGCGTGCAGCAGCAGATGGGGCGATTGCTGCAGACTGTTGTGCTGCTGGCCTTTCAATAAACTCTTGTTGCTGCTGTTGTAGTTTTTGCTGCTGCTGCTGCTGCTGCTGCTGCTGCTGCTGCTGCTGCTGCTGCTGCTGCTGCTGCTGCTGCTGCTGCTGCTGCTGCTGTTGCTGCTGCTGCCGCTGTAGAAATCCCAAGAGCTGGACCATAGCCTCTTGAGACCCACCCCTCCTCTCACCACCAGATTCACCTACTCTGGGAACAGCCAAGGGCGTAGTAGCGCCACTGATCTCAGAAATCATGCCTCCGGGCCCTCTCCCTCTATCAGAGTCCTTACCAACGACAGACCCAAATCCTTCTTGCGGCACTTGCATGGAAGAAACGCTTCCAATCAGACGATCGCTGCCGCCCAAGCCTGCAGTAATTTGTCTTGTGCGGTCAGCTGCTGGGTTCAGAGACCCCAAGAAGGCCGAGAGCACAGCAGGGCTGCTGAAGGAAAGGCCAACGGGAGTGGTGGAGAGCGGTGGAGTAGTACTAGAGATGCTCGGGTTTGCCGGGGTTGCTATACGAGTGGTTCGTGTGGGATCGCTGTAAGGATTATGCTGTGGAACGGCCATGGTGCTAAGGGAAGGAGGGTCTTCAGGCAAGGAAGCCATTGGTGTGAGAGGGGTGAGAGGAGGAGGCCATAGTAGTGCTATGAGGACCCAGTGGGGCCCACTCCCTCGGAGGCGAGGAGACAACTCAAGAACGGGCCTGTTTGCGAGACTCAAGAGCAAAATGTGGGGTAAAGATCGCGCCGGGAGGTGTCGATGGCCATCTTGACAGACTCAACGATCTGTTGCGTCTCCAGTAGCAAAGTCACATGTCGCTGGTGTCTGTAGTGACTCAGAAGTCATTAGCTGGCAGAGACAGAGCCACTGCAGGCTCCAGTGGTAGTACCAGAGATGCTGGGGCCAGTGAAATGAGCTTCGGAAACCACGGAATGCTTGACTCTTCCCCGCATTAGGAGATCTGCGGCGCCGTCTTGCCAACCTGAAGCACGTGAAAGAAGATTTCAAGAAGGGAAAAGGAGGTTCGTTTTTTAGAGTACTGCCGTTGTTTCACAGTGTGGAAGAATGGGGATCCAATATGTATCCTAAACGTTACCACGTGACGAGAAGGTTTTTTTTAATGATAAAAGCACTGCTTGTAGTTAGGCTCGAGCTAGCAGTAGTGCTGGAAAGAACAGATCTGCACCATCTGCATGTAATAGCGTGACATGATGATGAAATTGACACACTCAAGAGTAGGAAACGCGAATGTTTAGTAGTGCTATTTTTCTGGTCTGACCTGTGAGCTGCAATTCCTGAACGAGGATCCACCTTCAGCTGTTAGTCACTTTCCTCCGGGTTTTCAGGCCTCCGAGGCTGACGGATGGTTTGCTCGAATATTACCCGAAGCTCGAGTTTTTTACTCTCTTTTTTCTGCGCGACATCAAAGGTTCCCGATGGATTCCCCCTTTAGTAACACGTTCAGTGATAACACAAAATCCGACTGTTTCAACAAAAATCGCTCAGGTCAGGGTTGGGCGGTACCAATTCTCTGCATGGAGCATCTGGTGAATCGCAATCACCTATTAATCTCGAACTTGAAATTATTCAACGGGTTTGATCAATTCTGCAAAGAATCCACGTGTGGCCAGTCTGCGAGTCGAAAACCCTCGGAATTTCCTCCGGAACAAAATCGGAAACAACGGTTACAAGCCTGTCATAGTGCGTATGTTTAGGGAATGAGATGTCATGGCAGCAAGTTAAGGCGGAGACTGCTAATATTCAGGATATCTCATCACAAGCCATCGCGTGCACGCCAAAGACAGTTGTTGGATTTCTGGATTTCTGGAGGGGTGATTGTGTTTTGAGATGGGAAGACTCGGTGAGCGACAACATGGTTGCAACTCCCACACTGGAGCAAAGAGATGGGTGGCAAAGAAAGATCGTTTTTCCCCCACAACCAGCCCAGCCAGGTGAGATGGGAATGATTCGTGAACGAGACACATGCAGCAGGTGGTCGTCCACGTCGGTAGTGTGCTTGAAGCAAATGGGTTTTCAGCTTTAAAAGGACTGTTACTGTAGCTTGTCCTCTTTTAAATGGCCTTCATCGCTTTCCACGCACACTTTTTGCTGATTCTCTTCTCAGGCGGGAGCATTATCATTCAAACTAGGGACTCGGCTTTTCCGCAACTCACGCAAGTACTGTTTTCATTGTCCACAATTTCGGGAGGGATCAACCCTAAACACGGGAAAGGGCATTGTTTTTAGGGTTGATGCCTCCCCGAGTCGTATCCCTTTCCCATTGGGTTTTAGATTTTGTTTTGTCAGGTGAGGTGATATATAAATTCCAATAGTTACATGTAATTCCCGCTAGGGCGGAATCGTTTTTAAGAGCATCAACCCTAAACACTGTGCGACAAGGTATTTGGGGTTGATGCCATTCCCTAGAGGGTTATTTTTTTACCTGGGCAGAAACAACTAAATCCCTCTCGGGTGGAATTTATATAAGGGCATCAACCCTAAACACTATGCCACAATGTGTTTAGGGTTGATGCCATTCCAAAGGGAGGTTTATTGTTTTTACCCGGACAAGAATATACATGGGTTGTTGTGAACTGTTTGTGGGAAACAGTGTTTGCGTGAGTTGCGGAGGAGCTGAGTCCCTAGTTTGAAAGATAATGCTCCCGCCTGAGAAGAAGATCAGCGGAAAGTGTGCACAGAAAGTGATGAAGGTCCCTCAAAAGAAGACAAGATACATTAACAGTTCTAGCAAAGCTGAAAACCCGAAGCGAATCAAAGGACGGGCGGTAACAGCAAACAGGCTCTGGACTCGTCCACTGCAGCAAGGGGAAGGCAACGTTTGTTCACCTCGACTTCGACTTCGCCATACAGTACAGTACAAAACGGTGAGAGTGGTTCTTGCTCAAAAACCTTTACTGTACATGTGTCTCCATTTCGTCAACGAACCACCCACAAGCCCACTTTCGCGCCATCGCATTGGGGGTAACAGCAATACCTTAGCGGGCGGCAGGTCTCAAAGTTGCCAGAATGCCTAAGGGGATGGCAGCTGCAGCTGGGTATATTATGAACGCTATTACACCCTGAAATCCCTGATGGTTTGACACTCACACTGAGTGGATCCGTTTTCAACAATTCCAGCAGCACTCTAGGGGCACTAGTCCGTGGGCCAAGGACACGGCGAACAGTGTAGGTCCACACCTCTTCATAACCTGAAGTGAGTTAAGTGTCAGGTCCCACTTTAGACTGCACTGAAGTAAATCGATATTCAATCGGAAATGGTTGCCAGTGAAAATACACCACAATGAAAATAACTGGTGGTATGATGAACAATGGATCCAGCACAAATGCTTTCCCTTGCTCTCGAACATTTCACGTCTTCGTAACACACCCAGATATTTCCCCACACCCCTCCTTGGTTTAAAGGCGGGGTGCAACTTCTTAGGAACAGTAGGGGGACAAAAATGGCATGTGAGTAACTTGAATTCTATTGGACGAAATAACTGGAAAACCAGAAGAGGACAAACTTCTCGGCTCTGAACTGCCTGGGTCAACCTCTTCCAAGCGATAATACTTTGAAGTTGAAGTTGATAGTTGGGCCACGGCTTTAACGAGACACACACCCAGATATTATGGATATATCAATAGGCAGCGAGAAGATTGTCTCATGAGACTCGCACTCTGTAGCCCCAATGGGAGGGTAGGTTGCGTTCTTGTTGCTTGCTGTCAGCTTGGGGTTCGCGAGGGGGTTTGTAATTGCGATAATTCTTGGGCAGGCTGAGCGTGTGTGTAGTGTATTCAAGCATGGTTTAGGTAGGAGTAGGGGGCTGAACCCTTTATCACTCCTAGTGGTGAATTTAAACCAGGACTCCAAGGACACTTAATTGGTGCACCCAGTGACAAAAATGCACTTGGCTCTCCAAATAGAAATTGACACCGACTTGACATGCGCACTAGTCTAACCCTTATGAGCGAAATTTCGTCCCTATTAATTAAGCACATAGCTGATTATAATTAGACGTCCTTCACTCAAAGTGAAACGACTGTCAGGGGTACGTTTGGGCTCTTTGATGTTTGCCATTCACTGCACTAGATAATTTCAAGCTTGGTTTTCCCCCACGTAATCCTGGAGTTCTCGACCGCAAATTCGGCAACACGGGCCTCAAATCTGGGTATCCGAGACCCTTCGCTTCATCAAGCCTGTAAAACAGAGGGATTTCGTGAACCATCGGCCAGGATGGCAACAATATAAAGAGCCGCCCACACGTAAGGAGCTGCAGTGAAGTCCACTTGGCTCCGCTTTCATTAGCACTGTCAACTGCAGCTAGATTACTGTGCAACTCTCCTGCCCTCTCACGACTTCACTGCGAACCTACACGGGAAGCTGCCACGCAGAAATCCAACTCTGGAGCTATCATTGCGGATGTTTTCTCGAAAGCGACCACTTCTCCGCCTCTTGCCGTTGATGCCGCCCGTACTAACACCTGCCCCGCTATTACGTACATTTCATACAGAGATGGGAACTGTAAGGAAAAAAACTTATTCCTTACTCGGTCACTCCTTACGCGTACAACTCTACCTTCGGAGATGACCTCGTCTTCCGAACGTACTTGCGTCGCCTTTGGGCTTTGGCAACCCTAACCAGCACTCGACCATAGCGACAACGCGAAATCCGCCTAGCCTTTCACTCTATCTTTGCCATGCTTCATTAATAGCATTAGTAAATGTAATAAATGCTTCAATACTGACTGCCGCTCCTTCATTGAACACACATAATCTCTTGGTATCGAAACTACTTTCCTAGGTTACCCTCGATTTTCTGGGGTAATTTGTGGAAGGGGAGCGATAGACTTGGTGCGTTGTGAGAAAAAATATATATGATTATTTCACTCCAACTACATTAGCATTCGCGACTTCATCCAAAATCATAAACGTCACTAGTAAACCCCTACGCGTCCGACGAAGTTTGAGACACATGGATCAGGCTGCGCTGGACAACATGCTGCAACAGTTTCAAAGCGATGCAGGCAAGTGTGCAGACGTTGACAACAGAGGTGAAGCGAGCCAGGAGTCGCCTGAAATGGACGAAGAGAATAGGAGTGTCATGGGCCATGATACAGTGCTAAGCGAGCTTCAACAGTCGATTGATGCGGCATAAGCCA